GTGTATATATAGTGTACAGTACTACACAGACACACAGAAGTATATATATAGTGTACAGTACTACACAGAGATACACAGAAGTGTATATAGTGTACAGTACTACACAGAGACACAGAAGTGTATATATAGTGTACAGTACTACACACAGACACACAGAAGTGTATATATAGTGTACAGTACTACACAGAGACACAAGTGTATATAGAGTACAGTACTACACAGACACACAGAAGTATATATATAGTGTACAGTACTACACAGAGACACAGAAGTGTATATATAGTGTACAGTACTACACACAGACACACAGAAGTGTATGTATAGTGTACAGTACTACACGGAGACACACAGAAGTGTATATATAGTGTACAGTACTACACAGAGACACACAGAAGTGTATGTATAGTGTACAGTACAACACATAGACGCACAGAAGTGTATATATAGTGTACAGTACTACACAGAGACACACATTAGTGTATATAGTGTAAGTACTACACAGAGACACAGAAGTCTATATAGTGTACAGTACTACACAGAGACACACAGAAGTGTATATATAGTGTACAGTACTACACAGAGACACAGAATGTATATATAGTGTACAGTACTACACAGATGCACACAGAAGTGTATATATAGTGTACAGTACTACACAGAGACACAGAATGTATATATAGTGTACAGTACTACACAGAGACACACAGAAGTGTATATAGTGTACAGTACTACACAGAGACACAGAATGTATATATAGTGTACAGTACTACACAGAGACACAGAATGTATATATAGTGTACAGTACTACACAGATGCACACAGAAGTGTATATATAGTGTACAGTACTACACAGAGACACACAAGTGTATATAGAGTGTACAGTACTACACAGACACACAGAAGTGTATATAGTGTACAGTACTACACAGAGACACACAGAAGTGTATATATAGTGTACAGTACTACACAGAGACACACAGAAGTGTATATATAGTGTACAGTACTACACAGAGACTCACAGAAGTGTATATATAGTGTACAGTACTACACAGAGACACACAGAAGTGTATATATAGTGTACAGTACTACACAGAGACACAGAAGTGTATATAGAGTGTACAGTACTACACAGAGACACACACAATCGTGCACAGTGGTATACAGACAGGACACACAGAGGGCTTCACACAAGCGGTGAGTAAGAGAGAGAGAGACGCAGGCCCCCGTGTGTGCTGTGTGTAGCGATCAGCTCGCTGTGCCACCCGGGTTCGATCCCTGCTCACGGCCAACACCGGCGACGATTATCTGAACCGGGCCTCCCCTAGGTCGACTCAGCCTCAAATCATTCCCTGGCGCGGCGTGTAAACATCACCACCACCGGGGAGACAAAGGCGGTCGGGCGTGGTGCTGTCCCGTGTATACCTCTCCGGCCTTAATAGGCGCTCGCTAACAGCACTTGCCCCCGCCGCCTGTGGAGGCTACGCGGGGGATCTTTGTCTGTGCGCTGCCGTTTAATGGCCACTGTCACATCCACACACGCGCCACTTGCTCGTTGGTTACTTGTACAAGGGTAACGAATACATCAACATTTAGTATTCATTCGAGATTTGAAGCGTTCGTGACTGCAAGGATTCATACTCTGAGGTTTTTTCGGTAAAGTCACGTTGGTAAAAATAAATAATAGGAATAAATAATAATAAAATATATAGAAATAATAATATAAATAATATTACATATTTTATTTCTATTATAATTTCTGTAATGTTTTAATTCTTTAATCTTATTATTTATTTTATATTATTTTATTTCTATTATTTTTCATTTTTTATTATTTATTTTTACCTACCTGACTTAAACGAAAAAACCTAAGAGTATGTATTATTCAGTTGTATGTTCAAGTGGATAATGTAATCGCTGCACATTTCTATGTACGTGGCTTACCGAAAGAACCAAAGAGTATGGATTCCTGCAGTCACGAAAGCTTCCAATTATTTGTATTTGTACAAGGGTAACGAATACATAAACATTTATTATTCAGTTGTATGTTTAGCCCCGCCCACGTTCCATTCATTGGCTACCACATTCAGATAAGCCCCTCCCCCTTAGCTTGTATTTAAGAGCTTGTCTCTTGTAATTTTGGCATGGGGGGAGGAAGGGGGGGCACGGGGGGAGGAGGGGGGGCACGGGGGGAGGAGGGGGGGCACGGGGGGAGGAGGGGGGGCACGGGGGGAGGAGGGGGGCACGGGGGGAGGAGGGGGGGCACGGGGGGAGGAGGGGGGGCACGGGGGGAAACGCCCCCCCCTAAAAAAACTGGACACCTTTATTCATTTATTTTCATGATTTAAAAGGAAAAATAAATTAAATGAGGGACAAATATAGAAGTCAAACTCCGCCAATGATTTAAAGTCTTCAACGTTGTCTCATTCGCCGCTTCATTTTTTTTGGCGCCAAAAGTGTAAATACAAAATGGCGTCAGAGACTCCATTTTGTTTCATTTCTTTATTTACAATTAACGAGCGTTGACAACATCATTATGGAAATGTTGAGGTAAATTAAGGCGCATATAGCGATCCGAATGCGGATACAACGTTCTGAATGGTACGAAAATATAAATGGAGGCAGTTATTTGTGTAGATTGTTGAATTTAATGGTTTTTTTTAAGTGTTAATGGTTAAAACGTACAAAATGGCTGCCTTCAGGTTGAGCGTTTGTCGCGAGCCGAGTTGGTTCTGCGCCTTGGTCGAGATGACTGCAGTGGCTGATTCAGAAAGGAGAAGCGTTTTTGTTTTATTAGTTCACCATAAGTACGGTATTATTTGCCTAATGAATATGATGAGATATGAAGATGTGTTTATTATTACACCTAAATATTGTTTCATTTCCGTATTATAGCGGTTTTGAATAGCAAATGTCGGCTAACATATATATTTCAGGAGTGTTGGATTGTGGCATGTGGGATGATGTGAACTAAAAACATTTTTTATTTAACTAGGCAAGGCTCACTGAGAGAAGTCGCTCTTTTTCACATGTGACGTGGTTATCACAAATTACAGCTCAACGGAGTGGCTTGTCACGTGGATATTTATAGTGGCAGCCAAATCCTCTGAATGCAAATTGATTCTAAATGTGGAGGAGAAAAACGGAGGACCCAGAAAGAAATCTACGCGACATCGGCGAGAGAGACGTGATGACTCAACATATACAGCGGGCGTTAGGATCAGGATCGAACCCACGACCTCCTGTATACCAGGCGAGGTAGTCAACATCTTGTCACCAATGCAGTGACGCTTGGCCACTGTTGCAGAGATACGAGGGTTACCCAGAAGTGATTTGTTTGCTTTTGTCTCGAGTGCACAATTAAATTATAACTTATATTTAAACAATTTTCACTGGAGATGTTCAGGAGATAAAACGCTCCACTTTGCTGAACCTTGTGCCAGTGTTTGCTGAATCATTCCACTTCGAGTTGGCCTCCAAAGATCGCAGGTACATTACGCTTTAAGCTGGCTGTCCGTCCTCAACGTGAAAAAACCTCCTGTATAACTTGTAGATGTATTATTATTTGATGATACTACGTTGACAGTTGTGCACAAGATAACACACTCTAAAAACATTGCTCAAAAACAGCCAGATAATAGAAAACGCACAACTGCCGACGTTTCAGGCAATTGCTTGAGAGCATATTCCAAATGGATATAAGAAAAATAGCAATTACTATAAACGTCGCGTTTTATGTGTATGAATGCATTTTCTTTAATGGTGGTGTTATTTATGAATGTGTTGAGTTGTTTTGAAAAACTATGAAGATTATAACAATTCTTAAAGCGGAGCGCTTCGTCAGTATAACACACGCACAGCCTTAAGAGGCTTCACCACCATCTTGATCAGCATCATTCGGTGGAGCCCACCTGCGTGGAAGCCTTTTGAGGGAGTTGGGGGCTTGGTGGATAAAAAAATATTTGTGAAACTCAAAAATAGCTGAGGCTGTAAATTAGCCAGATATTTTGATTTAAGCTTTCGTAACTGCAGGGATTCATCTTCTTGGTTCTATCGGTAAAGTCACGTAGAAGGGAAATAATAAAATAATAAAAATACTACTTAATAAAATTTGTATTAATAAAGTAACAAAAAATCTACCATATTTAAATACTATTTTTTATGCTTTATTATTTTATTATTTCCTTCTACGTGACTTTACCGAAAAAACCAAGAAGATGCACCGGGATTGTCCACCCGACGCTGGGGGGACGATTTTTGCGTACCTACGAAATGGAATGCCCCTTACTCAGCGGCCCCGCGAATCCCTGCGGTGGAGTGGTATCGCCCTCGCGTGGTGCGCACCAACACCGCTCCAGGCACCGACGTGACCCAAACGGCGTCTGGGAATCGGTCGCGATTCGTGACTTGGTCCGCAACTCTGGACCAGTCCTGGCAGTGAAACAATGAACCCCACGTGACCCCCAACATCCCCATCTCCCCCACCCCCTAGGGGTTCCTCCTCTCGCGTGACAACCCCCAAGCCCCCCCCCTCACCCAGACACCCCCCCCCGCCACCTTACGCACCCTTCCCTAGCACCCCGCACCCCCTACCCCTCCCACTACCCTGTGGTCGTTTGGGGCAGGGGGCTGAGTGGTGTTGGTGGTTGTGGTGTTGGTGGTAGTGGTGTTGTTGGTGGTGGTAGTGGTGTTGGTGGTGGTAGTGTTAGTGGTGGCGGTGGTAGTGGTGGTGTTAGTGGTGGTGCAAGCTTTTATTTCGCTGGAGACATCCAACATCAACCCAAATGGATGATGAATGAATGCATTTCATTATCCAGGGTTCAACGAGACGCTTCGATCAGACTTTCCACAAGTGGAAAATCGATTCTGAAAGTGCCATGGTTGCGTTAACACCTGTATGCGCAAACACTTAGGGCTTTCGTAACTTTCAGTGCCTCAATGAGGAAATGTCTTCCTGCACCACACGCATCGACCGGGAAATAACTGAGAGACTTGGAAAAGCAAACGGTTCAATGTAGGCCTTTTTTATTGGTGAATTTTACACAGCCAAAGAAGCACTTTCCTTTAGAACACTTCATCAACATCACCAAATCAAAAAAAGGGGTGCTGCGAAACGCCGCTCTAGCTCTCGGTAGCAACGGCGGTCATCTTGGTGTAGGTGAGCCCCTTGTAGATGCCGCTCAGGGGAGCATCAAGGGATGCGCCATTCATGCAGGTGATGCGCAGCAGGGCCGTGTACGGAAGGTCGATGTCGGCGCGCCCGATGTTGGCGACCACGGTGACGGTCTTGTGCGTCGGGACAGTGACGGGGAACGTGAGCGTTTCCGTCTTCTCCTCGGACTCCTCTACCGCGTGCGTGCTCTCACTGCCCACGGTGAAGCTGAATCCGGTCTCCACCTCCATGACCTCGGGGATGCCGGCCTTCACCGACAGGCTGAAGGTGGACTCGATCTTGTTGGTGGTGGACCACGATGACTTTTTAATGATCTTCTTGGAGCTCTCGAAGGTGTACGATTGCACGATGCTGGTGTCGTTCTTGTACTCCATTTCTTTGATCTCCTCCATCTGCACGTTGGGCAGAATTTGGTGCATGGTCGGGTACTTCATGTCCTGGATCACCGACGACTTTATGGCATTGATGAAGATGAAGCCCATGGAGTCAATGTCGGACCCCCCTCGGCCCTGAACACCCAGGCAGATGCCAGAGCCCACGTCGATCTTGTACTCGGTCTTGAGCCCCCAGTCCGTCATCTTGGCAAAGAACTCGCGGCTGCGGCTCGTTATGAACTTGATAGCGCCCAGGCGAGTGCCGGCTCCGTTGCCCCACAGCGAGAGGCTCTTGATGAACTCGCCCGACTCGAATTCGAACTCCTTAGCGGAGGAGTCCATGGCGCCGAATGTCTCCCTGCGCCCGTCCGTCAGCCACACCTGCACGCCCCTCACCTGCCATCCCCCAACGCTCACAGAGAGCTTCTGCAGCGTCGCCGCATTCTCCTGCCCGTTGAACGAGAACGCGTTTCCACCTTGGCCGCCAATGATGTGAAGTGTGGTCGGGTACACCATGGTTTCGACCTGAGAGCGAGACAGAAGCAATGGGGAGAGCATGCCACGCGTGTTTTAAAGCCTCGCCTCGTCTCTTGCGGCTGCCATCTTATCATTTGAACGCATCGCTGCCGTTAACCGTCGACTGTAGTTGTAGCGTGACATTCTTACTCTTTGGTTCTTTCGGTAAAGTCACATAGGTGAAATATAGTTTTTTTTATATCACGACGTTTCGATTGCAACACAAGAAATCATCAGGTGTGAAAACCACAGCAAGAAAATGTTTACTGAAGTGGGACATTCTTGTTTTATTTTGAACCTCGAAGTAATTCAAAAGTGCCCAGAGTTTGTGTTTATCTGCAGGTCCAGCCAAACATGATATCAATTCATCCAGACATCATTTGAGAGCGCCAAATTGAATGCGACAGCTGTCTATTGGGAAATGCATCGCTCATCGTGGACGGCTGCGGTTTTCATAACTTTATTGCCAAGCATGGGCAAATAGCCAAACCTCATGCCAACATTCTTACGAAAGGCGTCAACCACCTTAGATTGCGCCAGTTTTTTGTTCGCGGCAAAAATAATCACGGCACAACACGCACGCGTCTACCCACGCACCGATTGTAGCCACCGCAATTCACAGTCACATGCTTGCAGTCGTGGGGACTGCAGGCGTCTAACCATTACTGCAGCCTTGCACCCCTCCCCCGCCCCCCCCCATTGGTTCTTAATCGCTTAAACAATTTTTTATAATAGTAATAGGTTTTTACCCTTTAAATTGGTACAAAAACTGACACCGTTATACAAGGCATCATGTTTGCAATAACCACAACACAAGCAGTCAAAATTCAAACAAAAAGAAACAACTCTGATGATGATAACGATATGCACTGTCCTTGAAGTTGTTTGGTCCACACCCGAGACAGCTTTTCTTAGAGCCTGTTGGACCAGATGACGCCAAAAGACGTACAACTCAAAGACAGCGCACTATCAGAGTATTGAGAGCTCGGGGTAAGCTAAATATAGTAATAGGTTTTTACCCTTTCAACTGATACATTTTCGATTACTTACCTTCTAAAAAAAAACCTGCCCATGTCTCCTCGCCACTCCTCCCCACCCCAAGACAGGGCACCTCCATCACCCCAGGATAAGAAGAAGAACCACTGACCCAGTCCCTGCAACCCACCCCCCATGACCCACACAGCTACAGGAGGCCATCATCCAGCAGTTGCAATACAAGGAGAGCTGATGCACGTTCTCGCGTTGCATAGCAATCGACCGCATCGTGAACGCAATCACAAAAAAAGTTGTATTCTCGACAACGACAGTAAATTATCACTGGTCAACACACTTTTTCTGGCATAAGGTATTCCAACGATGTTAAGGTAGTTTTGGGGTGCTGATTCCATATCTGGCATCAGTTTTTGTCAATAAAAACTGCAGAAGAAAAATATTAAATAAATGTGGATATCTACATAAAATGATATTATAAACACACTATCCTAAAAATACAGCACCATATTTTAACACTAAAGCAGTCACTGACTCGCAACAACTTGCAATCATAAGTGACAGAGTTAATTTCGGGTAAAATCAATGAAAATGGGGTATGCCGATAGCATAAAAATGAGATGTGATAGAGCAAATCTGAGATCAGATTTGGAATCAGCACCCTGAAATTAGTCTAAAACAGCTGCAAAAGTCCAGGCCAGAAAAAAAAAAATATTTTTTGTTTTGACCAGTGAAATCACTGAAACCCTGTCGTCGAGCCAGAGGCGACGGCTGGGGATAAATCACGAGGATTGATCGGAGCGGCGAGCTGTGGGGCAAAATCTATCGTGGGCTAAAGAAGCTCACCCCCTCCCACCTGCATCTACCCCCCCCCCCCATTAATGTCAAAAAATATTCGCGAATGCGTAGGGTATGGTCTCAATTGGGGGGGGGGGGGGTGGGCAAAAATCTGAAATCCTCCAGAAATCTCCTTCCAGCGTAAGGATCCCACCCGCCATCCCACCCCCAGCCAACTCACCACTCACGTGAAAGCAGTCGACTCCGCGAAGAGCAGATGTCCCTGTGTCAGTCGCTCCCTCCTTTATACGGGAGAGCCAGCTCCTCCCGCCGCGTGACGTAACAATGAGAGCTGCGTTGTTGGCGTTGCGCACCTACTCATCATCCTGCCAACTTCGCCTCACCCAGGAGGCCAATCGTCATGAGTCACCGCACGACGCTGCCAGAGGTTCGCTTCGCTGCTGTGGGGCGAACGAGAGCGCCCCCCCCCACCTCGTGAATGCGTGGGGTGGGTGATTAGTGGGAGGTGGTCCGCGAGAGTTCACTGGGGTTTGTCGATGCAAATGGAAGAAAAAAATGTCCTGGCTAAGTTTTGTTGCTCAATCTTGAGCAACCGTTTAACGAAAAAAGATTATAAAAAAAATTACGGGCTTTCGCAACCAAAATTTTCCATCACGGCGGTTTTTTTTGCTTTATGGGCTAGATCGCGTGAATATTAACGTGCCATCATTAGACCCGCCACCATTGCTAACCACCTGACGCAGTCAATTAGTAAATGGGTTGTCACTTAGCACAAAATGCGTACAATTAGTGACTACGTCAGCCTGCTCAACTTGTGTGTTTGTCGTGCAGCAGAGTAAAATACAAACAAATTCCCTGCAAAGTTGCACGAAGAAGCTGGTTGCTGTTATCCATTGTGGAGTTTTTTTTGCGGATAGATCGCATAAATATGAATGTGGTGCCGTTAAACCCGCCACCACCAGACGACACGGCTAATCATTAAGGGGTTTGTCACGTGAACAAAACGTGCCAATTCGTAACTTGTATGACGCTAGTCAAAATTACCGGCGAAACGTCACGGCACTCGAATTTCAATGTTGTATTGGGTTTACTCTTTGAAACAAACCAGTGAGTGCTGATGTTGTAACGAATTGGCACCACATTTTTTGCCGAAGTTGTTGTTGCGTTGCTCAAGAACACCGCTTTACGGGAACATAAAATTGCGTTATGAATAAATGAAATATAATATTGGGTGTTGTGGTTAAAGCGCAGTCACCCATTACAACATCATATGCCCACCGGGGCAGGCAAAGAGCCAGGCGCCTGGTACGCAGGAGGTCGTGGGTTCGATCCCGTGATTCTGACGATGCCTGCTGCTTCTGTTTATTTGGAGTCTGCATCCCTTTCTCTCTCTCATCATCATCACGGTGGCTAAGAGATGTTCACTACCTCGCCTTGTACACAGGAGATCGTGGGTTCGATCCCAACCGTGATGATGCCTGCTGCTGTTGCATATGTAATGACAGGGTGACACCTGCTGACCTGGAAGGGTAATCACGGGTATGGGCAAGGTTATGTAACAACTAATCAAAAAGGGGGCGTATCTGGGTTAAAGGTCAAAGGTGGGGTTAGTCGGGAAGCTCCAGGAACCTGCTCGAAGGTTCTGGAAGGGGGCGTTGCCAGAGGCAGAGCCCAGCCCCTCCTGGATGGATATAAGGGGGGTCGGACCCAAGGTTCGTGGTTGTTACGGTGGGGTCCCGGGTCCTGACTGCGTCGCTGCTCACCGTCATCTCTCTCCGTCGTCCGACCGCATGGAAGATCTTCTGCACGGCTCCCAGCGCCGTCATCGTCACACCAGTCAGCCAGCTTTGTGGTTTGATGTAGGTGATGGGACTGCGTATGAGGTCGGCTGTGTGTAGCTAAGTAAAGACGTGTATATATATTACTCAGTGTTGTGCCCAGTTGAGGAGATGTGTATATACGGCCTGTGTTGTGCCCAGTGTGAGAAATAAATAAGAAGAAGCCCTCTCTCTACTCGACGTGTCTCAGAAGTCGCTCGTTACATTTGGAGTCAGAAGTTTGTTGGAAAGAAAAGTAGAATTGTTTTTTTTACTAATCTACGAAAGAGGAAGGATGTCTAAGCACCAGAAGAAGCGGAATCCACCTGTGGCGTCGTCCGATGACGATCAACACGAGACCCAGGACCTCCTGACAGCTGCGGGAACCGAGGAAGAGGGGTGGCGCATGGTGGCCGAGCAACTTGAGCTCCTTGCGGGCGACAGTCCCGCAGTTGGCGGCGCTCCTAACGGCGACAACGAGTGACACACACACAGTGACACACACACACATACAGTGTTACACACACACACACACAGTGATACATACATACACACAGTGACACACACATACATACAGTGTTACACACACACACATACAGTGTTACACACACACACATACAGTGTTACACACACAGACACACACACACAGTGACACACACACATGTGACACAGACACACACACAGTGACACAGACATACACACAGTGACACACACACATACATACAGTGTTACACACACACACATACAGTGTTACACACACACACATACAGTGTTACACACACAGACACACACACACAGTGACACACACACAGTGACACAGACACACACACAGTGACACAGACACACACACAGTGACACACACATACATACAGTGTTACACACACACACATACAGTGTTACACACACACACATACAGTGTTACACACACAGACACACACACACAGTGACACACACACAGTGACACAGACACACACACACACAGTGACACAGACACACACACAGTGACACACACACACACAGACAGTGTTACACACAGTGTTACACACACACACAGTGACACACAGTGACACACACACACACACAGTGACACACATTCAGTGACACACACACACAGTGACACACACACACAGTGACACACACACAGTGACACACACACAGACACAGTGACACATACAGACACACACACACAGACACACACAGACATACACACTCGGACACAGTGAGTGAGTGAGTGGGTGAGTGGGTGGGTGAGTGAGTGAGTGGGTGAGTGAGTGAGTGAGTGGGTGAGTGGGTGAGTGAGTGAGTGAGTGGGTGGGTGAGTGAGTGAGTGGTGGGTGGGTGAGTGAGTGGGTGAGTGGGTGAGTGAGTGGGTGGGTGGGTGGGTGAGTGGGTGAGTGAGTGGGTGAGTGAGTGAGTGAGTGGGTGGGTGGGTGAGTGAGTGGGTGAGTGGGGTGAGTGAGTGGGTGAGTGGGTAAGTGAGTGGGTGAGTGGGTGGGTGAGTGAGTGGGTGGGTGGGTGAGTGAGTGGGTGAGTGGGTGAGTGAGTGGGTGGGTGTGGGTGAGTGAGTGAGTGAGTCTGAGTGAGTGAGTGAGTGGGCGAGTGAGTGGGTGAGTGAGTGAGTGAGTGGGTGAGTGGGTGGGTGAGTGAGTGAGTGAGTGGGTGAGTGAGTGAGTGGGTGGGTGAGTGAGTGAGTGGGCGAGTGAGTGGGCGAGTGAGTGGGTGAGTGAGTGAGTGGGTGAGTGAGTGAGTGAGCGGGTGAGTGGGTGAGTGGGTGGTGGGTGGGTGAGTGAGTGGGTGAGTGAGTGGGTCTGAGTGAGTCTGAGTAAATGAGTGAGTGGGTGGGTGGGTGAGTGAGTGAGTGAGTGGGTGAGTGAGTGAGTGAGTGAGTGAGTGGGTGAGTGAGTGAGTGGGTGAGTTAGTGAGTGAGTGGGTGAGTGAGTGGGTGAGTGAGTGAGTGAGTGGGTGAGTGAGTGAGTGGGTGAGTTAGTGAGTGAGTGGGTGAGTGAGTGAGTGTGAGTGAGTGAGTGGGTGAGTGAGTGAGTGAGTGAGTGGGTGAGTGAGTGAGTGGGTGAGTTAGTGAGTGAGTGGGTGAGTAAGTGGGTGAGTTAATGAGTGAGTGGGTGAGTGAGTGAGTGAGTGGGTGAGTGAGTGAGTGAGTGGTGGGTGAGTGAGTGAGTGAGTGGGTGAGTGGGTGAGTGAGTGAGTGGGTGAGTGAGTGAGTCTAAGTGAGTGAGTGAGTCTGAGTGAGTGACTCACCATCGGTGGAGGTGAGTGAGTCTCTGTGTGACTCTCTGAGTGACTCTCCATCGGTCCGTGTCCACCCCCCAAATCAAACAGCGGGAATTTCATGGGTAGCAGCTGCAGCAAGAGAATCAACATCAACAACAGAATCAATAACAACATCAACAACATCAACATCATAATCATCGTCAGCAAAAACATCTACAAAATCAATAACAAAATCATTAACATCAATAACATAATCATCATCATCAATAACATCAACAAAATTAGCATCAACAACAATATCAATAACAACATCAACAACAACATCATCAATATCAAAACCAATATCATAATCATCATCATCATCAATAACATCAACAAAATCAACATCAACAACATAATCAATAACCACATCATCAAGATCAATATCATAATCATCATCATCAATAACATCCACAACAAAATCAATAACGTCATCAATAGCACAATCATCATCATCAATAACATCAACAAAATCAATATCATAATCATCAATAACATGATCATCAACATCAGGCAATATCACCATCATCACCACCATCACCACCATCACCACCCCCACCACCATCACCACCACCATCACCATCATCACCACCACCACCACCACCCCCACCATCACCACCATCACCACCGCCATCACCACCATCACCACCATCACCACCACCATCACCACCACCATCACCATCACCACCAACACCACCACCATCACCGCCATCACCACCACCACCATCACCACCACCACCATCATCACCACCACCATCACCACCATCATCACCATCACCACCATCATCACCACCACCACCACCCCCACCACCATCACCACCACCACCCCCACCACCACCACCATCATCACCACCACCACCACCCCCACCACCACCATCACCACCACCATCACCACCATCACCATCACCCCCACCACCACCATCATCACCATCACCACCATCACCACCATCATCACCACCACCACCATCACCACCACCACCACCACCCCCACCACCATCATCACCATCACCACCATCACCACCATCATCACCACCACCACCATCATCACCACCACCCCCACCACCACCACCATCACCACCACCACCCCCACCATCACCATCACCACCACCACCACCATCATCACCACCACCACCACCATCACCACCACCATCACCACCATCATCACCACCACCACCCCCACCACCACCATCACCACCACCACCACCCCCACCACCACCATCACCACCACCATCACCACCACCACCCCCACCATCACCATCACCACCACCACCACCACCATCATCATCACCACCACCACCACCATCACCACCACCATCACCACCATCATCATC